CTTGTGTCCTGAGCGGTAAAACGTGCAGCCACCCTTCATTTTACGCAAGGGAAGTGGTCAGAAGTACCTGTGTATTAATCACATTTTGGCAATTCCAGTTGCATTTTAAGTAACTGCACTCATGAAAGGTCCTGCGAGACACACCCCCTGTGAAATGCACCGCCTTCCGTCGCGTTCCTGCCACAGAATTCGTTTTCAAATTCACTCATCTCCCTTTTTCCAACCCTTGACTCCCTAGGGTCCATTTTGCAAAGGCAGCCAGAGTGATCTTTTCAAAAAGCAAATCAAACCACGCTGCACTGCTGCTGAACGCTTGCCAGTGCAAGCCTGCTTCTCTGAGTTCATGGCCTCCACCACCTGCCGTTCCCTCTCCCTGAAACACTCTTCCCTCAGACCTCCCCATGTCTGCATCCATCCTCAAAGGCCACCTCTTCAGAGTGGCTTTTCTGTCCACTCATCTGCAGAGGCTAACCTTGCCCCTGACCATCCTCTTGCTCCTAACCCCGGGGAGTTTCCCCTGTGGCTTTCATATTCGTTAATTTCGCTTGCTTACTCACTGCCTTCCATGCTAATGTCTATCTCCCTTACCAAAAAAGTACCCCGAGAGCCAAGATTTCATTTCATTTGTTCACTGGTGGATCCCTAAGTGCCAGCACAGTGCCCAGTACAGAGTAGACAGCCAGAAAATACTTGTGGGTGAGAGGGAAGGAGGGTCAAGGACAGAGAAGTCAAGCGTCAAGGACAGAGAGAGGGGGAGAGAGGGAAGAAGGAAGGCTAAGGATGGGGAGGGTTGGGGAGGAGAGAGCAGTGTGGGAGGAAGGCAGGGAACAACTAGGTCCTAGGAGCTGCTGGTGCTTTCCTCAGCTACAACCGGGGGCCTTGGAAAAAGAGGCTAGTCATGGAAGGGGGATGACAGCAGAGAGAAAGCAAGTGACAGTGTACAGATCATATGTTTTTAAAGAACCGTAAGAAAGTAGCTGAATTGGGGTGGGTGGAGAAACCCGAGGCTTGGGGAAGTGGATGCCTTGGGCCCTGCAATATCACTTATTTTGCCTTTTCAAAGAGACTTCTTGAAAATGTCTCAAGAACTTGGGAGTGGAGAAAGCACAAGCAGTGCCTTGGCATTCCAAGAACGAACGGGGCCAAGCCAGCCGGCGTCTGTGTGCAGGAATGCAGGCGGGAAGGTCCGAGATAAAGCACAGACGCCCCTCGAGGGAGCGGGTTGGGATGTCCAGACACGACACTGGGATCACGGGCCAAGGTGCAGGAAGTGATAACCCAGAGCTGAGCCGGGGCTTCCCGGGACCCCAGGGCAGGGGCAGGGGCCGCTTCAAAGGTGGTTTGTTTGCACTTGTGTGGGAGGGAGGACCCGGGTGACTGCTTCCTTTTCCAGCCACAGAACCTTCCCTCGACCCTCAAAAAACATAAGCCCAGCTCTCACAGTTTCCATGGAAAGCCCACTTTGGCAAAATCCCAAGGCAAATAAATGGCAAATCAGAAATACTAGGCTGGGTGCGGTGTCTCACACCTGTAATCCCAGCACTTTGGGAGGCTGAGACTGGCAGATCACTAGGTCAGGAGTTCAAGACCAGGCTGACCAATATGGTAAAACCCTGTCTCTACTAAAAATACCAAAATTAGCTGGGCATGGTGGCGTGCACCTGTAATCCCAGATACTCGGGAGACTGAGGCAGGAGAATCACCTAAATCCGGAGGTGGAGGTTGCAGTGATCCAACATCGCACCTCTGCACTCCAGCCTGGGTAACAGTGAGAGACACTATCTCAAAAAAAAAACAAAACAAAAAAACAAACGCCCACATGCTGGCAGCACGTCACGCTGGAGTTTCGCACGTGCCCTGCACAGCCAAATAAACGCTGTGTGCAACTGACTCCCTTGGAATAATAAGCGAAAGGGACAGCAAAGGACCTAAAGACTGAGGAAGCTGCCCCGCCAGACACCCGAGGAATGACCCAGGAGATTTTCCAGTTTACTTGTCAGAAATAACACAACAGCAAATCAAGATGTGCAAATCGCATATCCATAGAGCCAATGGCAGCACATCTGGAATGTTCCATGGATGCACAGGCTAGACAGACTCTGGAGGAGAATCTGAAATTCCAGCAGTTGGGAGACAAAACTGCGCCCACATCTTCCAGGTGGCTACGGTGGAGACGCAGTCTGGGGCTTGCCACTGGGCATGAGCCATGAGGGGACCTGCCCATTGGAGGGTCCTGGGTTGGGCGGAGCCTTGGAGTCAAGGCCAGGGGAGCCCTGAACGGACCTAGTAGCACTTGCTGGCTTTTGGAGCCACATGGGTAGAAACCCCTCCACTGCCCCAGCAGGCTCTGGCCTCATGAATGTGCAGCCCCAAAACTGAGAAGCCAGAACACAGCATAGGGGCCTGGGCAGTGCTGTGCTTCAGAGCCCTTCAGTTTCCTGTATGTTATTTCTGCCAAGTACTGGGAAAGGAGTGTCCAGGTCAGCTGTGTTGCGCGACTCCCAGGCCTCCGTTCTCACAGAACACAATACAGTGGGACAGCACCACCTCGAGTGTGCCGTGCACTCTCGTTTGTGTGCACCCCCTCATTTTAGAGATGGATAACAACCACTAGCATAGTAAAGACTCTGAGAAGTCCTGCAACAAATAATTAAAAAAAAAAAAAAAAAAAAAAACTTGGTTTAACCTAGTTTTTTCATTTTTTAAAGCCATGGAACCCTCCTTCAGAAAATAGCTCCTAACATCCCATGGGCTGGGGTCACACAGCATGTACCTCAATTTCACCTCGCTCCGTTCTCTGAGGCATCCTCAGAGCCGACTCAGGTTTCGACCTGGCAGGGCTCCCTCTCACCACGACTGTGAACCTGCCTGTGTTCAGAAAGGGCCTCCAGGGGCCCAGAAGGGTCTCCATGCCAAGCTGCTTTCTCTGTAACGTGAGTTTCTGTGGAAATGGCAAGGACATCTATGGATCTGGGGCTGCAACAGCCAGTCATGACCACCTCGGGCCACGTGGACATGGGTGCCCCAATATCCAAGACACTCACCATTTGCCTTTAACACAGGATGGTTGGGGTGGGAGAGGCCAATGTGTTTCTTACTCTGGAGACCAGCCCAGCCCTAGGTGCAGAGTCAGCAGGGGAAAGCTATCCGCCCCTGCACAGAAGCTCATTTATTTATAAAGCACCTCTTCTCCAATACAATCGATCCCCCAAGGCCTTGCGTAGAAAGGGGTCTGGTTACAGCCATGCTTCATTGATCTACCACCACTGGGCAGTCTGCCTTAGTTAATTCTCAACATGATTGCCTCTTGAAAATAAGCACCAAAACTTTATCGTCACCATTGTGAACGTAGATTGCTCAAGGATGGATTGTAGGCAGGTCTCTCTTTCAAAACAGAGCACCATGACCCTAACTCAACCTGTACGTGATTATTCAGGATCAGACAAATCAATTATTAACACAGCAATGCCCAGAGGCCAGCCTTGTAAGGCGCATGGGCCAGGATGACCCTACAAGAAGTGGCCCCAGAGGTCTCTGCTTGGTGAGTTCAGGGGATGTTTTTGATCCATTATCTCACTAGGGATTGGGTATGGAAACTACTAGAAGTCACAGAGCCCCCAGATAACCTGACTCGTCAAGATGTTTCTTGGAGTAAAAGTCAACAGTCTCTGACTGCGCAGCAGAGGATATTTCTGGCACCGCAGTGTCTGCAACTTAATAGCCGGACTTGACGGTAACTATGGTGGTTGTTTGGAAGCTCCTGCTTCACTTCCTACCCCTTGGCTGGGCTCCTGAGAGTTAATTTTCTGAAATAATTGAAGTTTCAGGGTATAGCAGATACTACTGCCTATAAAATACAAGACTGGAACTGGGAATGACAGCCGGCAATTTAGGTTTTTCCTACTGCTAGTAAGAAACTCCAATCTTTTAACTTCATTTTTAAATAACTTCAAGTGTCATGGGACCGTTTGCAACTCAATGGATAAATGCTTGAAGGGATGGATACCCCATTCTCCACGAAGCGCTTCTTTCACTTTGCATGCCTGCCTCCAAACATCTCAAGTACCCGATAGGTAGATAAATAAATAAATACACACACACACACACACACACACCTGCTATACACCCACAAATAAATTTTTAAAAGAAAAACATAAAGAAAGCCCAACAGTCTGTTTTCCTTTTTCCATCCAGAGCCCCCAAGGCAAGGCTGCTCTGCTCACCCCACCCTCTCCGACCTCCTAAAGTGCCTAGCGGCTCCCAGGTGAGTCTTAGCAAAGCAGTCTGCCCTTCTTCCCTGAGATCCTGGTCCAACACCTCATCACAGCTGCTCCATAAGACTACCCTCTGGCCAGACCCCTTGCCCACAGACAGACACCTACAGACTCACACAAAGCCTCCTCCGCATCCTTTTTCTTGGCCCAAACCACCCATCAGCTGGGCTCACCACAGCGGATGCCCACTGTTCCCTCCCATCAATGTGCATCTCTGTTCTACCAGCACAGGGCAGAGAAGTGCCCGCAGCCTGCCTGCAAGCTGTTCTGATAAAGCCCCTTTTCAATGAGCTTTCCTCTTCCTTTTCCTCCCTCTCCCTCCCTCAAATACACAAAAGAGGGCTAGCCAGTGGGATTTTTTCCGTACAGGAATGAAAGGAGGTTAGCTTTCCTTCCTTTCTATTTTCTTGGCCTCGGTCTAAATTTGGCAATTGGAAAGTGTGGAAGCAGTTAACTGCACCCAGTTCATGACCCGGGGGATGCCGGGTTGCCCTCATTTGTTTTTTCCATGGGGGTCGTTCTGGAGGGGGACATCTGATGGGAGATAATTCTTGCACAGAGCTGGGGGTGGCTTTCAGGGTCTTGTTATTCAACCTCCTTCGATTAAAATGGGGACACCGAGGCCCAGAGAGGTTAAGTAATCTGCAGGCCACTCAGTGAATTTCCTAGGCAGAGATGCATCAAGGCGCCATCCTTACAGGCAGTGACAAAACCCAAGCGTCTTACCGTCATCCAAGTAGGTCTGGTCCAGGTTCTGCTCCTGTTTGACGGTCACTCCTGCAGGTAATACTTCCTTTTGGTCACCGACTGGGGGTCCGTTTTTGGTGGCTCTTTGGCTCGTGGCATTCTGCTGCTGAATGACGGTGGGGTAGGAACTCGGGCTCAGCCTCTGACCTTGACTGACCGGGGGCGGGCCAGGCCTAGCGGTGCCTGGTGCGAAATTCTCGCAGTACATGATGTGCTGGAACTCCTGGTGACTTCCGCAGCGCAGCTGCTGGTTGGTGGGCGAGTAGTGGATCACCGGCGAGGCCTGCTGGTTGGTCGGAGAGGGGTGGAGCAGGGCTGAGCTCTGGCCCTGGGAGCCGGCGTGCACCAGCACAGAGCGGTGAGCGTCCGCCAGGGACAGCGGGGCGGCCATGAGGGCCGGCTGCTGGTAGCTCAGCAGGCTGGGGCTCAGGCTCTTGCTCCGCTGGTAGAGCACGGCTGCTGGGTTCTGTTGCTGGTAGCGGGCGTCAGGGGATGAGAGCCCCGTGCGGAACTGCTGGCAGGGAGCCATGGTGGCCACGAGGCAGGAGGGGGACTCGGCCACCATCGGGTGCTGGGGGTAGTAAGGCTGGCTCCCCAGGCCCCCATGGGTGGGGCTGCAGATCAGAGTGGGGTCATACTCATCCGTGGGCTCCGTCTTGATGGCTGGGACTGGGAGGAGAGAAGAGCACATGGGGCGTCCATGGCGGTGAGCCACGGGTGTGCGCGGAGGATTCGTGGACGGTGCTTGGGAACATGGCCTTGGGAGTCCATTTGGGTGGGACAAACGGTTGGTCGCCGTCACTTACCAGTCTTGGGCAAAAGGCTCCCTATGCGATTGTCTTAGGTAGGAAATTTTATCCCGGCAATGGTCATCTCGAATTATAGATTTTTCCAATATTGGAAAGGTGTCTGCTGGGTCTGACTCCGCCCTGGGACGTTTACAGCCTATTCCTCCCAGGTGAGAGCTCGGAGGACAAGCTTGATTTCAGATGGTACCTCCCCCTCTCTACCCTGGCAGCTCCTTTCTCCATTTGTTTTCCTGTCTACCGCTTATCCCCATTAGAAATGTCATAGATGCTTTACATGCCGATTTATTACCTAAATACACCCCGCCTCCAAAGTCAGCTCTTCAAAAGTAGGACTTCTGTGTGGTTTTGATCCTCATGGCCCCAAACAGCACCTGGTACTTAATGGGCACTCAGATATTTTCCAAAGGAATGACAGAATAGTGACTGTCCCTTTCCTCCATTCTGTAGTGCTTTGGGGGAGTAAGCACTACTGGTTCAAGCCTCAGTTTCCCCATCTGTTACCTGGCGGTAACAATCATACCTACCCCTACAGGATCATTGGGAGGATTAAATAAGATGTGTATGCAAAGCACTGAGTGCGGTGGCTGGCATACAGTAAGTGCTCAATGGTTGCTGTTGCTGCTATCCTCTGACTATTATCATCCATCATGATTAGCATTTGTGCTGTCGCTGTGGCCATTCCTTTCTCCCTGTCCAGCACCAATCACTGAAATTACTCTTTCCCCCAACATCCATACCGATCCCAAGAGTTAAGGAATCAGTTTTCTGTTTACTGGAGTGAATGAATCAGCGACAGGACTGTGACCAAGTGTGCGTGTGCATGCGTGTGTGGTGAGGGACCGCCAAGTATTGGGGATTGGAGGAGACAAGGAGACTAGGCAGGGCTGTCTCCAGCCACAGAAATTGTCCCTTGAGACGCTATTCAAAGGCTGTCACCTCACTCCCTGGGAGACAGAGAGCTCACTCAGGCCACGCTCAGCCAGACAAGAGCCAAGGCCCGCCCACAAAGGAGAGGAGAGGGCACCACAAAACAGAATGGAGAAGCTGTCTGCTCAACGGGATTCCTGAGCTGCAGTCTAGAGCCTCCCAGCAATCCCCACAGTGCTGAGTCTGAACCCTGCCGCTGATAAAGTGTCATGTCTGCCCCAGGACAGCAGTGTCCTCATGGGGGTCAACACAAAACTGTGGGCACAAGTCAAGCTCACCAAGGCCAGGCTGCCAGGACACCCCTCAGTTTAATGCTTCCAGCAGCCCAGAGGCTGCCACAGGATGGAAATTATACCCTGGGAGATTGTTTCGAATTATAGGTTTCCAGTCTTGGAAAGGTGGCTAGCAGGTCTTTCTCAGCCTGGGAAGCCTGTAGCCTACTTCCCAAGGGACAGCTCAGAGAAGCATTTTTAAAATATAAACTTATGCTTCCCCTGGCTGTTCCTGTCCACCTTTTCTGCAGCCCCAATCATAATCCAACATGTCAATAATAACATTATCTATGACCTCATCCCCGTTAGAATGGTGGTTGCACATGGGCAGGGATTCTTACCCTGTAGAGTTCACGGCTGTGTCTACAAGCCAAGAACAGTGCCTGGCACTCTTACATTTTCTGGACAAATGAATGAATGACAAAATGGTACTCATCACCTTTCTTGGGGCTGTACTTTGTGGGAATGAGAGCTTCTGGCCCAGTTATAGAACAGTCGCTCACTTCATTAGGCCACAGGGTGATGAGCCACACAGGGGGTCACATAAAGATTCTATAGGTTTTAGGGCACAGCCACCTTTGACCCCTCTATCATGATCAAATCTAAGCCAGGGACAGGAGTCATCCACTTAGCACCCTTCTGTTGTACATGCACACACATGCCCTTCTTCTATTCCCCCTTCCCCAAAGGAAAGTACTCAGGCAATAATAGCTAATATCACTGACATCAGCTTACTTTGTGCTGTGCTAAGGATTTTATGTGCATTTCATTTCCAGAACCCTTATAAGAAAGATGCTGCCTCACAGATGATGAAACTGAGGCTCAGAGAGGTTGAGTCATCTGTCCAAAGTTACCCAGCCAGAAGCAAACTTCAGGTGTCCTGAGCCCCGTGCCTGTCCTGCCTCTCAATAACAACAGGGCCGTCAGAGACAGTCCTTACCTGGGTGGTAGGTAAAGTGCTGAGGCTGACTTCGTTTTCTTTTTCCGTTGATGACATAGAAGTTCACTTTTACAGGTGTGCGGATGTGCTTGTTCCGATACTCGGGAATCTCAACAAAAAGCATGTTCTGGAAAGAAGGAGTGGTCATGAACTTAGGGTGTGGGTAGGTCTAAGTTCCTACCCACACCCTAAGTATATTCAGGCAGCCCAGCATCTAATGGGGGTTTTGATGTGCCTTTCATAGGTTTACAGGGGAAGTTCAATTTCAGGGGAATTTAACTTTTCAGCAGCAGCAAAGAAAAATACTCCATCGAAATACATTAAGATGTCACAGTTACAAATCAGAGAGCCTGATGCCCAATAAATGCTAAATTCACTCATTAATATGCATTGTTGAGTACCTGTTAGGTCCAAAGCTCTGGGGGACATTGATGAAGGAAGGAGGGAAAGAAAGAGAGAGCATGAGGGAGGGAACATGACGGGGGTTCAGAGACACTCAGCTGCCTGACAGCCAGTGCGTCCACGTGCTTACGGGCTGGCTCTTGTCCTTATCCACCGTGGCTTCCATCTCCCAAATTTGCTGCCCATCTAGAAAAATTTAAAAATGACAGACTTTGAAGGAACTACTAGAAACCAAAGATTTAAGACAAAAAACTCACCAACTTCTATTTATCTTAGCTTACATATTATGTTAATAGAGACAGAATGTTTGTTCTTAGGTATTGCAAGGAAAAATCAGCACTCAAACAAAAAGCTTTCTCAGTGAGGCAATTTTACTTTCTGCGGAAAGGGTACTCCTTGTCCGCTATCTTGCTACGAGAGTACAATGAACACAGGAAAGGCAGGCGTATTTATTCCTTATGTATTAGGTCTTTATTGCTGTGTCAGCTCTCCGTTGGTTGGAGCCAGACTTCAAAATTTAAAACTGAACCTGATTGGATGACGATTTAAAACTTTTCTAAATAGGTAAAGGCAATGGAGAACAAAGGAAAAGAGGAAGTCCAAATAAGCAAGGGGCATAGGCTGCGAGCTGGGACATGCCTGTGAGCACGTCCAGCACAAATGTCTTGGTTAAAGTACAAGGACATAGAATGTACTACGTGCCTGTGAGCATGTCTAGCAGCTACATAGGATAGGGCTTAACAAGGAGTTTTTAGCAAAAAGCAAGAAGGCCTTGAAGAAAGTTAGTCTTTAAAACAATTATTTCTAACATTTATTATTATCTTGCAATAAGAAGGAAAACTTTGAAGGGGAACTTTTTACTTCCTTACATATGTCATTTCAGTAAGATGTGTATGTGTCAATGTGTGCAGTTGTGTGTATATATGTATTTATAGATATGAGTATTTCCTTTTGCTAAAAGGAAGACGTGTTGACAATAGAAAACAAGACATTATCCTAAGCAAATTAATGCAGGAAAACTAAACACCGCATGTTCTCATTTATAAGTGAGAGCTAAGCTTTGGGTCTATACGGACATGAAGAAGGAACAACAGATCGTGAGGACTAACAGGGTGGGGGTCAGGGAGCAGAGCAGGGACCAACAACCCACTGATCGGGTACTGTGCTCACTGCCGGGGCGACAGGCTCATTCATAGCCCAAACCTCAGTGTCACGTAATATACCCATGGAACAAACCACAGGTACTTCCCAAATCCAAAAAGTTGAAGTTACATTTTTAAAAATTTTTAAATAAAATGTTAACAGCCAAAAAGAAAGAAAGAAAACAGGGCGACAACAGAAAATAAGAAAAAAATAGAAACTGTCCAGAATCCTACCATCATATTTTTTTCTCCATATCTGAATGTCTATAGATCTTTCTTAAAAAAAAAAAAAAAAAAAAAAAAAAAAGGCATTATTAAGGGCTGGATGAGGTGGCTTACACCTGTAATCCCAGCACTCTGGGAGGCCAAGGCAGGTGCATCACTTGAGGCTAGGAGTTCAAGATCAGCCTGGCCAGCATGGTGAAACCCTGTCTCTACTAAAAATACAATAATAAAAATTAGCCAGGCGTGGTGGTGCATGCCTATAATCCCAGCTACTTGAGAGGCTGAGGAATGAGAATTGCTTGAATCCAGGAGGTAGAGGTTGCAGCGAACCAAGATCACACCACTGCACTCCAGCCTGGGTGACGGAATGAGATCTTGTTTCAAAGATAAATAAATAAATAATTTTTAAAAGCATTGTTGTATATTACACTTTATTATATGCCAAGTCTGTTACAGAAGCACCATGACAGGTCCCTGCCTATCCCAGACCTGCCTTCTTGGTTGTCTGAGAACACAGGCTTAAAGATGTAGCCCCAAGTTAACAGGGAAGCCAGCGACTTCAGGGGTGCCCTGGCTGAGGAGTCACTGAAGAGCAGAAAGACAGGAGCTCCCCTCTGCCTTTCCTCAGCATACAGCCTGGATGTCACGTGAGCCATGGCAGCTGATGAGGAGGTTGTGCTCAAAGGTAAACTCTCCTGTCTGGAAGCAGAACACTGCTTCCCCAGTTTGGGGCCAAGAAGTTGGGCCAAAAAAACCCCACTGCATTTGCGAATACTTGATTTCTCTTGCTGACCACTGACACTGGTCATTGGGTAGTTTTCAGCTGAAACAAGTCATTTCCATGAGTATTTCCAGGGTGTCTTGTGGAACACTGATTCTGGGGGATATTAAATGGTTTTATGAGAAAGGGGGAACATTCTGAACACTAATAAGCTTTGGAAACTGCTGAGTCAAAGTCAGATGGCTTTCTTCGCTGCAGAACTTCTCGGAGGCTTTAACACGCTGCTGTGCAGAGTAACTCTCCAAGGTGGGCTAGAGTATGTAGCCCTTCCCAACGTCTGACCAAAGAACCCCTCCATACTTTTAAGCACAGCTATTAACATCTTCTGTGACTGCTTAGGTTTGAACCCATAGAGTCTTGGCTCTTAAGATTCATCCAATGAAATCTGCGTTTCAAGCATTACTTAAACATAACTCCTCCCCACCTCCCCCATGAAAAATTAACATAAAGTCTAGTGATTGCTCTCTAGATGATCTTGACAAGGAATAAGCAAAGAACACGCGAGAGCCCTCTGTCACAATTAAGTCTGCAAATCCTGACCTTACAGTGCAATTCCTGAAATGACTCAGCAAGATATGGGCTATGCTAAAAGGAAAGAGAAAAGGTGGTTAATGTATTGACTCTCATTGCAGTGTCCCCTGGTCCCTGCTGAAGGGACCAAGTCAGATTCATCACCATCTCCCCAACACCCAGCACGCACAAATGCCTAATAAACATCTTATGACTAAAGAGACAGAAGTGTCAGCTCCTCCAAAGGCAGTTGCTGGGGCCAAGAAAAGTCCAGAAGCTAACATCAGACGCGTCCCCTCAATGAGGGCAGAATACTTAAGCGCCCTGTTTTCTCAGATAACCAAACAGGAATGTCTGATGCTCAAAAGGAAGCGAGGGAAGATGGCTGGATGGACATTGAGGAACTGGAACTCAAGTTATCAAGACCTGAGTACTTTCCGTGTGCAAAGTCCTGTACAGAAGTAGTGCAGGACAAACTTAGTTTATTTGTCAAAGACCACCCAACAGGGACACATGTCCCCTTTTCAGGCAGAGGTCACCCCCAGGAGCATGACTGTACACACCAGGTTGGGGCCCTCATGAAAAAATGTGTTCTCATCCACAACTACAAAGTGAGCTGGAAGCCTGAAGATCAAGTAGGAAATTAACAGAGGAAACAGGAGCACGCTGGTGTCTGTCACCCTCTCCCACGGCCTCTCCTTGCCTCAAATGAATTCTTGAATTCTGCTACCAACAGCATCATTTTTTTTTTCCACTTATAGGAGCTTGTTTTAGGGGAAAAAAAGCGGGGGGATCATTTTGAGAAGTTCACAAAGGGAGAAAAAGTACCTGGAAATGTGGTCAGCAAGTATTAGGTAGGACACATAAAGCTTCCATCCCAAGCTTTCTTCCTAGGCTCACACCAGCAAGTGGTAGATGAAACACAGAAAATACCAAATGGCGGTGCCATGAAAAGAGTGTCACCAAGAGGAGAGTTCTCATGGACTGTCCTTGTCACTAAGAGGAGCATTCTCATGGATTGTCCCTTCCGGGTCGAGGGACCCAACACAAAGAAGGAGGAGACCTTTTCCCACCTCTGGGGTGTATACACAGCAGACAAAACTCCATGCACTGACAGCCGCAGGAATCCAGCCCATGGGCTGTTGAGAGCACTTAGAGACTAGCCAGCCCGCACTGGTGGACGAGGAAACTGAGGCCCAGAGAAGCAAGAGGGCTGCGCAAAGACCCACAGTCGTTATTAAATCACAGGCTTTAAGCAGCTGACATTATCTAATAACAAAGAAGATGGCTTCAAAGAGAGGTCAAGGTTGTTCCACAAGAGATGGTGACCAGATAACTGGAAGATGACGGGGGTGCGGGGGGGCGGGGGAAGATCTCATATGGGTGGGATCTCTGGGGGGTCACTCACCACGAAGATTCATGCAGAAGCAGATCTCAAGCCCTCCCCTGCTTCGCTGTGCCCTCAGGATACCGTCCAGGCTCCACTGTGGCCCTCAAGGTCTCGCACCACCCAGCTCCTACCCTCGTTCCAGCCCTCCTGGCAGTGTTCTTACCCGACTCTTATGGCCGCTCACTATGTCCCTGGCGTCCCTCTAAGCACCTCACACACGTGGGCTTGTCTCATCTGTGCAGCACCCCGAGGAGGCAGGTCTCCTCATCCCATTTTATAAGGGAGGACACCAGGCACAAAGAGGTGAGAGCACAGGCCAAGGTCACACAGCCAGATCCTGTGGGGAAGCCAGATTTGAACCCAGGCAGCCTGGCTTGCGTCAGCACTCCTTGCATAGTTTCAGATCCCTGTGCCTGGCAGTTCCTCTGCCTACTTCCTCTCCTCTGAGCTCCAGCCACAAAAACCAGCGCCTGGGAAGCAGCACTTCCTCGGGACGCCCCACAGTGAGGCCGTGAGCGGCCACATCCCACAGCACCTCAGAGCCTGGTAAATGTCAGGGAAAGCAGCCCACGGGGTGCAGAAGGAAATGCTGGCCCTCTCCAGCGTTCTCCGCCAGGCCTCCCACAACGTGCTGACAGCAACCCTGAGCCTTTGTGGGCATGTCCTGTGGCCACAACCAACTTCTGTCACCCCAGCGCTCTGCCATTTTACTCCTGTGTACCCCAAACTTCGGAGTAGACAGACCCAGCTTCAAATCCTTGACTGGCCCAAATGATCTGTGAGACCTTAGATATGACACTGTCTCTCCGTGCTTCTCATCTGAACTATGGAGATAATCATAGTACCCATACCTTACGAGCTCATCCTGAAGATTAAATATGGTAACAGGCTCATGCAGGGTATTATATAAATGTTCAGGGCCGTGTGCAGTGGCTCACGCCTGTGATCCCAGCACTTTGGGAGGCCAAGGCAGGCAGATCACCTGAGGTGAGGAGTTCAAGACCAGCCTGGCCAACATGTTGAAATCCCGTCTCTACTAAAAATATAAAAATTAGCTGTGCATGGTGGCATGTGCCTATAGTCCCAACAACTGAGGAGGCTAAGGCAGGAGAATCACTTGAACCCGGGAGATGGAGGC